GATCCTTCACAGTCTGCTTCCGAGTTCGCAAAGTAAGTGTCAGACGGGCGACAGGCACTTCATGCTGCTATGTCAAAGATCGAACCATGTCAGTCGGTCTGACAATAATTACGTCGGATGTGGCCTGAGGCAAGCAAACAGATACATGCACGTTGCTGATACTGTCATACCAACTGAGCTCTAACAGTTGCAACCAGCGCTTCCAGTGGCTATCGACGTCAAGAGAATATCGCCGAATCCCTCGCTCGGCTCCCAATGATAAAATAATAATTCTAAGCATGATAACGTACAAAGCATAACAAATCTTATTCTTCGCGATATGTTCTGAACCGTTCAAATTTAACGGACTTTCGAAATGTCCAGCACATCGTTTCAAGTTTTCTGCTGTGACACAACAATAATTGCTTTTCAGCGGTTCAAAATCTCCAGGGCATATTTAGCTACTAACTACAATCACAAAACTAAAGTAGTAATGCAAAGAGACCGTTACCTACAGCCTCGATTTCGACATCACGACGGTGTCCTGAAACAAACGCTTAAAACTGATTGCGATTGCAAATAACTATCTCAGTAACAGAAGGGGATTAATACAGAAGTAGCGTCTGACTATACGAAATGACAGAGGAAGCTCATATTTACACTGGAGTGGTAAGGCACAAATCTGAACAGGACAAGCGAATTTCCTGTTGAGGGCGTAATAACTACATTCATATAAAATGCTAAGCCACAAAAAAATAACAGTCATAGATACCAGAAAGTTACGTAACAGAGGCACAAATTGTGTTGCAAGTAAACGACCAGAGGCGTCACTTTATTTCCAGACGTCATATAAGGCAACAGTATTACTTGAAATGTACAAAAAGAACACCACGTAATAACGAGAGACTACGATTCGGGAGAGAAGGAGGTCGAGGCGACTTCGGGTGGATGACTAGTTTCGAACCTGAGTTATTCATACTGTTCACATGGACGTGAGGCAATGGAATGGAACTCAGATAGTAGCTTTTGTGCTCTTCTGCGAATCGCTTCTTCTGTCTCCGGCACCGGAAGACGTGATGTCGGCGTTCAAGATGGTCATCTCGAAATTATCGCATGGATGCGTGGAGGCGCGCTGAAGGGGTGCCATTCTGCGCGGCTGCTTCCGTTTTACGGGCAACGAGTAGCTGCCATGAGTCAAAACAGCGTCATAGCTAGGTGGATTAGCGCTTTCGTGGGCAGCAGTGCTAACAGTTGGGTCGAGTGACCGCCGTTGCGACGCACAGCTTTGCACGGTCACGCTGCCGCTGGTGCTGCAATGCTGCTTTAGTCTGTTCCAGGTCCAATACAATGCGTCGAATATCAGCTTGAAGGTTAGGGGAGGGCCGAGTACACTGGCTAGTTGAGGATGAGACTCGGAGTACGAAGTGGTCAATGGAGAAACGAAGATCGGGTAGCCAATAGGCTGGTCAGCGGAGGAGTTGATCATATTTCGCAGGACCTAAAATCAGCCAACACGTCATTGCATTAAATTTTCAATAGCTAGACAAAGAAGCACAGCAAAAGTCAAAAGTTTGAAACGGCTTCATCAGTAATTATATGAGGCTTCCAAAATTATTCTTAATCACGTAGTATGATGCACTGCCAGTCGAAATATAGCCGTATCTATTGACCAAGCATACTTTTCACTTAAGTATAGATATGAATAAGAGTAAACATAGCAAACAACGATTATATCTCTCTATGGTTGTTTAAAAAACAGACTGCAAATTTGGAGTAAGGCTTATAAAGTTGAAACCCGAGCAAAATTAACATTTTATGCAAGCAAAAATTCTGATTTTCTGTTTCTTATAAAATTATGCACATAATCTTGTCAGAGACACGAAGGGCTTGGAATAAACGTTCACATAATTATTTTTCAATAAATTAACCATTAAACGACTAAGCAGGTAATAACATACTTAAGCTACAACTCAGCCAGAAGAATGACAAAGTAAATCGTGAGCTTGCTTTTCGAGGCCTGTAGCAGATTCTTTGCATTATTAAGCTGATCATCGGCAAAGTTTAATCCGGCTGAATAATTTGGGAAAGTATGTGGCAAGAAATTGCGAGTTTGTAATATCGGTTACTTTACATGTCGACCCTTCCAGCAATACGGACAAGATAAAGCAAATGCTTATATCACTGTCTGATCATTGCCCTTCATTTTAACTTCTTCACTTGCTGGTGAAGTTTCGCTTATTTGGTCTCGTAATGAAGCTCAATTAGGTCCTTTCTAGAGGTGCCAAGTTCGAATTTGGAGAAGGGCCAATCTTTGTGTTAACCGTGAATTCCGCTGAGCAAAGGATTTACCTCGGTTTGTTGTTGCCAAGACCGAGTATCCAGATTAGTGATGCCTAACGTTTTGGCTTTTCACAATAATTTAGACAATGCCGATTGCAGCAAAAAAGGTCTCTTTAGCAGCTGTTTTAGGGTGCGACGTTAGCATCTGACGCCTCTGCCGCCATTTCTGCCTTCCCAGAGGAGAATAGCTTTGGATAGGTCTCCATTCTCTCTTCGGATAGTCCCGTCAAACCACGACAGACCTCGGTCTCTGATTACTTCAGACAGCATTTTCAGGTCGGTCATCTCTAAGATCATTTCATTCGTCATTCGATGGAAAAATCGCACTTTCAGAATGCTCCGCAGACAGCGCTGCATAAAAGTGTCCAATATCCAACTCACCCCACGTTGCTTCTTTACAAACAGCCGAGTAACGAGCAGCAAAGGGTTAACTTGTGAACTGGCGAGACAGCATCGCGCGTCTTCGTTCTCATACGAGAATGGGTAAGGCACTACCTTGCTGTCTCCTGCGAGCACCTCGTACGCTGGTAATTCGTATTTATCCACCATATAGTGACTTATGAAATATCGACAGTCAGCAGAAAGTATCGCCTATTGTTATTGTTGTTCCTGCGGAACTAATTTTAAAAGTGAGACCATAATTAGGAAC